TACTGCAGAAGCATATCCACTGCCTCTTGTGTCAGCATAATGTCGTTGCATACTGGCGCAACCTGAGTTGGCGAGTTCTGAATATCCCCTTATTTTTCATAGAGTGACTTCTCTACCTTCCTGACATCTTTCCACACTGCCCCCTTACATTTACTGCAGAGGCATTTCACTGCCTCTTGTTTCAGCGTAATGTTCGTGAGCAGTGTATCCTGATGTCAAAGATATTTTATCGATTGTCCCATTTTAAAATTACGTTCTTTTGCTTCTTATTTACATTTATTCATACATTGTTTTGTGATTTGTACCAAAGTCGTGCCATTTTGTATACCTACAACTCTTCTATTTCAGACATTGCTTTCACCGAACCCGGATGACATTTATATGTTAGATTCTTTTTATTTTGATACCTCATGACACCAACGCAATCTCACATCCATTATTACGTTTTCTGCAGAAGCAGTGTTCCAGCCTCTTGTACAGCATAACGACTAATGCCCAGATTCCTCGGTGTCAACAGAAAGATAAGTATATTTATTGATAACTTTTCCTACCCATGAATTTGTATAAATGGATTTTCTACTTTTGTCTCTAATATTTTTTTTGTGTTATTGAAGGTTTCACCTCGGCCCGACCCCCTCACCAGTTTCCTGCAGCAGCAATCTACTGCCGCTTGTTCCAGTGTAACAGGTAACGACGCCTAACCGAGATTTCACCCTTCCTATATATTTATTATTATTATTATTATTATTATTATTATTTTTAGTTATTTCTACCCGTAGTTCGGTGTCCACACGTCTGTCTATACTCTGTCTGTACTTTTGCCTTGTAATATTGCATTATCTATGGGTGTCACAACCCTGGTTTCCTTTGTAATTAGTCACCTAACCTCCTCAACTGTCAAAAAATAATTTTCAGTCTGTCTCGACTCGGTGTTGACGCATCACTCCTCCTCGATTATCCACTGCAGAAGCAATTCCACTGCCTCTTGGTACAGCTTGACATCGAAGAACAATGATGCCTCTCAACGAGGGTGAGTGATTTTTAGACTACAATATATAATTTCTTCAAAGATTCTCGCTTTCTTTCTTGTTACGTATCTCCCCACTATTGATACCGAGCAAGTTTCTGTATGTTTCTCCTATGTATTATAAACCCCTGGTTCTACTCAGCACCACTCACCTATATTTACTGCAGAAGCACTCCTCTGCCTCTTTCAATCAGTTTTAATATTTGTAAACAGTGCTTTCGCAGTACCAGGGTTATTTTTCTACTCCTTACAGAACGACCCCACGTTTTAGTATCTCGTTTTAAGAATCACGAATTCCTATTCCCTCAAATCTTTCATTGACTTTTACCAGTGTTGTGATCCCCATTCTAGTTTTGTACCGAGGCATCTTTGTATACTTTCTTGTGTCGAAATATCTCACCTACCTATAGTTATTTTTAAAAGAAATTCTTAAAAGTTCTTGATATACCCCCGTTTCTTTTTACCCCTCAGTATCCCTTACTCGTTTTATGCTGTTTAACATTTGTATCGGTGAAATCTTTAACTGTCTCTAACGATCTTTCTACTGTAAATGTAATTTATATTGGTCCATATTTTGTGCCCTTTTAAATTCTATATCCTAATCTTTAAATTTCTCTTTAAGACCTGTCTAAAGTCACACACAACCCCGAACGTATCTACCAAGCTTTTCTTCACCAGCCAGATCCATCTTATGTGTTTTTTTTTATAATAAATACACCGTAGATCCGTACTATTGTGAACAGAAGCTTCTAATCTATTCTTTTTGCTTTCAGATGATCGACATTACCTTTCGGTGATTTGTTACTGCGACTTTTAATCCTTTACGGCTCTCAATGGTGTGATCGCACAGAATATCACTACACACGCGTCCAGTGAAAAGAAAACTTGTACTTTGCTTTTTACGGTATGCGTCTGCGAGTTCGTAGTATCTCAAGAATACTGATATTTTTGCCATGGTTCCCTCTACCTTTTATATCCCTCGCGCCGACCCTCGCTCCCTCCTTCATCCCTTGTCCTTGTCTAAATCCCTACTCCGCATCCCTTCTCCTTTAACCATGTTATCTCCTCCGTTTACCGTAACTTTGTCTCCTTCTGTCTTTCGACTGTAATATTTCAATATACCTATATCTCGTTTATACATTATCTTTTTGTACTATTTGTTGATGTTCTCGCTAAATCTTAATTTCACAGTGTGTATTGAATGCATCGATGTTTGTATGTGACTTGAATAAACTTACTCCAGACTTAATTCTGCGTAATTTGTAATGCTAATTCGTAGTTAAAATGTAATTTTAATTTACTGTTGTTCTAATACGACTTTCCTTATTCTTAGATCCTTACGTGAATCTCCATTCGTTGTTTCATTATTAAATCTTATAACCTGATCCTCGTATTTTGCTTATTTTATACTTTTAATGTACTGCTTTGTGTATATAATATCATTTATCCCTTATAGCGCGACAAGCCTTTGTATTTTACCCTTGGTCTTTTCCCTGATTTTCTTATCCCCCTATATGTTATTAGTTTCTTGCTCGAGGGCGTATGTTTATTTGTTTTTGGAAAATCATCCGCCCTGAAATGGTTCCTGACCGTCCTTCCTTTCGAGATATTCCTAGTTTGATAAATTCCCCGTTCTCTTCATCTTCCCCCCTTGTTTATATGAACGCTTGTGCCCCTATTTTTATATCAAATTTGACAAGATCTCACTAATTTGATCGTTTGGTATTTTTCTCTTAAATTGTTATAGTCC